CGCCGCCTCCGCCGTGCCTCAATGTCTACCGACGGGATGCCAAACACCACAAGGTACTCACGCTGGGCCCACGTGTCCACAACACTGCGTGGAATGTAGCGGAGGGTCTCTGCCATCATGTAGTCATCCACTCTCTCAAAGGATACCTGACCCAGGTCCACTGTACCACCCTGATGATCTAATCCAATGCGAAGGGGAAAAAAATATACAGCAGCTACAGACACTAGTAGGACACCGACAAGGAGGGCAAGGCGAAGCACAGCGTAGCTATACGTAGCCGCTCTGCACCCCATAATTATCGCCTTTCCATTCCACCAAAAAGAAGAAGAGTAGAAAAAACACCAGTAGTTAGACACCACATGCACCACAAAACCATACAAGACCACAAACAAACACGAGAAATACAATCACCAGAGTACTCGAACAAAAAAGGAGGGTTATTGTTGTGAAGCAAGTATATAATGGGTATAATATAGCAAGAATACAAGTATAAAAACGGACACTTTATATGCATCTCCGTCTACATTTATTACAATATGAAAGAATGAAGAAACGAGCACACCCCAAATGAAAAAAGCAAAGCAACTAAGAAAAATCAAAGAAGTTCCTCTTAACCATTACAAGGAAAATCAATGAAGCATCTGCTGGGGCGCCTGAACCTGCGAGGGGAGGGAGAAGTATCGTTTCCAAACCGCTCCATCAGCTCAGCATACTCACTCTCCCATAGGTGATGGATCACCACAGACTGCGACGTTACCGGGTTGACACGATGGCCCACATGAACATCATGGAAATGACAGGGCTTTTCACGGGCGTAGAGGAGGTGTTGGTACTTGATTTGCGTCAGCACCCGTCCCACCATAACGTCTTCATGGTGCATGTAAAAATATACAAAATCATTTATCCGATTAAAAGAAGGACGGTACATAAAACTCCGTACTGGTTCGCAAGACACAACCTGTTCCACAGCATCCCTCGCAAGAGTCGCGCAAAACCCAGTAACATACCGCACAATACCTTTCCTAGAGCGCTTAAAAAGCCCCCAATACAGCCCACGGCGGGGCAGGGTGCGCAGGTCAGCAAGGTACTGCGGCACACGCAAAAACATATCGTCGTCGCCCTTTGTCAGATAACTAGCGTTGGGGAACAGTTGGACGGCATGGTGGAACCACATGAACGTCTTGCGGCTCATGCCAACCTCAGCCTCAATGCCCCAAAATCCTTGGCATCCAACTACTTTATTTGTTGTCACTTTTCCCTCATGTATGGGCAGCGTGAGCACATCATGCCACTCCGATGCCTCCTCCTGAACTCCAGCAGAGTAGTTATAGCCGTGAGACGGGTGGCGTGCAAGCACATACAGCACCAGCATCTCACCAGTGAAGTTGTTTGACTTCGTGGCAACACCGGGGAAGCGCCAGCACGTGGTCCGCTGCAGGTAACGCCGCCTCCGCCGTGCCTCAATGTCTACCGACGGGATGCCAAACACCACAAGGTACTCACGCTGGGCCCACGTGTCCACAACACTGCGTGGAATGTGGCGGAGGGTCTCAGTCATTGTGTGACCATCCACTCTCTCAAAGGACTCACCAAAATGTCCATCCTCAGTCCCCTGATCATGCAGAGTAACAGTCATGAAGAAAAGGACACAATGGAATCAACGTCACCCGGGAAACGTGTTGTGAACGCGTGGTGCACGTGTTTTCTTTTTTTTTTATTCCTTTATGGTGAAGGACATTTAAATTGTATATAATGACGTTATTGTTTGCATCAGTCGATTTATTTTGTGCATACATTTAGTGATCTTGCTCCTTTTTAGTCTGATTTGAGGTGAAATGTAAAAGGAGATAAAAAAAATTTGTTGATTTTAGAATGAATAGAAAAACTTTGGTGTTTTTTTTTTTTTTTTCCTGAGTTGTGGATTGTCTATGACATGCAGTTTGCCTACAGTTATAACAGATCTTTGTGAAGGTTTTTGCTTCCCATGTTGTAACCCAAATAATGTCCTGTAAAATATGGATACAGTGGATTGGTTCATCGTTGTTGAAATTTAATTTGCTTTATTTGCAGCATTTAGCCTTCAATGTTGTATTGATTGGAGATTTGCAGTGACACCATACTGTGACGTACTAGTATAGTAACTGCGCTTGATATAACAAAGACCAGGTCGTTTAGATGGCGGTACAGCTCGCGTCGGGGTAATTGCTCCTGGAGTACTTCAGACAAAACACTTTGAGTCTCTAGTGTAGGAGAGAGGCGGAGCAGCAGCAGTTGTCCCATAAAGTAGGCACCCATTCCTGTTGTCAGACCCAAAACTGTGGTATCCATGCTTAAGAAAGCGGTGTATAGTGTCACTAGTCGAAATACTGTTAGGAGGAATCCACGAATGGAGCTAATAATCATCCAGGCATTAAGGGTCAATGACACCCATGCGACTCGACGCTCAGTTCCCTCACTACTTGAAACTGAAAGACCGTATGTTTCCAATATACCAACTACTCGTGTTGCTGTGTCCTCAGTCTGGTGAGGCACTGTAGCAAAAGAAGAAAAATACCATCGTAATAAACTAATAGTAGTAAAAGTTAGCTTAAGTAGGGTGTGTAAGAGAAGCAAGACCCCTATGAATGCTTCTGCCCAACCTCGCCAAGTAGCTCCATTCTCTGCAGAGCGCAGCAATGAATCCATCTCGTTCATCTCTAAAAAAACTGCTGTACTTACAGCCTGTATACCATCACTCTCTGCTTTTAATTTTGCTACATTCTCACTATTCCAGCGGGAATTCCCATCGCCACCACTAGAACGTAACGACTTTGCTACCCAACTCCATACACGTGTAGCAGAATCACGTGCTGATGCTGATGGCACTTTAGTGCTCCACGCCTGCGCTATTTGACTTTGCTTGGAAGTCCATAGAGAGAGTAAATAACGCTGTCGCTTCGCCAATACACCAAGAGCCACCCGTGCCCCTGCACCGCTGTCTCGCACCACCAGTGGTCGAATAAACGACACAGGAGTTGTTACAGCGGCATATCCAGAGAGAATACCTACAGCAAGTATACCAACTAACGCAACAGTTGTACTAACCGCATCCCATAGTGTATGTGCGGGGCTCAAGTGAAATCCAAGTTCTAAAAGACCACGTATCCATCGTAGAAGAGGAATCCATTTCCCAAAAAGATAAAATAAAATACAACAACTACCCACTAGTATCATACAACGACGTAGATGAAGGTTTTGTAGAAGTAAGCGAAGAATACAAAAGGGACAAAGTAATGAAATAGCGGTGAGGTCAGCTATAATAGCGTAGCGTAGTGCATGAGCGATGAAGCTTGTTGAAAAGATCGTACTCGCTACTTTTGAGGCATCCAGTAATACAAGAGTGAATATAAAGGTTGAGAGGGCAAATATAACAACGAAGCAAAACTGTGTAGTTGGTCGCTCAATGGCGTAGACAAACACCAAACGGCCAAATAGGATCCCGATATAGCATAAGCTTAGGAACAGCAATACACCAATAAATCCCTCTGTTATATTACCAATGGCACCTCCTACCATTTGGTTGCTAATAGAGTCTTTTATTTCTTATCTAATTTGTCACTTTACTGACACTTCCACCAAATAAAAATAATAATGCACGCCGAGAGAATAAAAATAGGAGAGAAATAAAACGTTAGTGTTCAGCAAAAGAAATTCGCACTTATATTCATCTCCTTCTACGTACATACATACACAAAAAAGAAAAGAATTATAAGGAATGCAAGAAAAGAAGGGAACACAGAAAAATAAAAATAAAAAGAAATAAGAAAGTTGTTATGTATGTCGATAAGAATTAACAAGAAGTGTGAATGAGAAAAATAAAAAAAAAGAGGTTATAGTACCCTCTTTCTTCTTGGGAAATTCATTCACTTCTCGTTTTAGCATCAGTGGTTTTCCTTATCTTCCAGTTTGGTAGGGAAGAGGTATGGAGTTTCAACAAAAGCACCCTTCCCTGCCCATTCTCTCACAGACTGTCGAAACGCATTCCAGTCATCAGAACTTGGCAGAGCGGCAAGAGAAATATGATCATTTGCGTTGCAGGAGTTTCCACTACCGGCATCTAAATCATCTCGAAAGTTCTCCTTCTCATTGGTAATTGTAGTATTGGATATGGATTCGGTGTCGGTTGGTTTAACTTCATTGTAAGTTAATGAAGGTGTAGCGGATTCCATCTTCTCAGAGAAGATGCCTAGTTCTGGGTGGGTAGAAGTGAGCTCACATTCTGCCATTACTCCATCATTTAATTCTTTCTTTCTTTCCTCTTCTTCACCCTCTTCTTCTTCTTCTTGTTGTTGTTGTTGTTGTTTTCGGTTCCATTGTTCAAGTTCGGCAGTGGCTGATGTGTTTGCTGCATAATATGCATGAATCTGTTCCCTTCTTTCGTTCGTGTTGGTCCATCCAAACATCACACAGATAGCAGTAGAGATAACAAATATCACACTTGCAACACAATAAAGAATAAACACTGCAAAGAATACATCTAGGAAAAGAAAAAAAATATGCCGTGGCTCTATAGATTCTGGAACAGCCCAGAAAATAGAATCTGCCTCAGGTGGGAGAATATCATACTTCTTTAAGAGTGATGTATTTCTCAACCTTAGCCATGCCTTCAAACGGTAAAATGTGTAGAGCATCTCATAATATCCATGTACGGCGTCAATCACAAAATGCTGAAGTAGTGCGTTATTTGAAGAAACCAGTGGCCAATCAATAGGTGGTCTGCCCTCAAGAGATAATAATTCACTTGTAGTCCGTAACGCTAAACCCCATACACGCCAACGATCATGTAACTGCACACTTGGGAATGATAAATACGCATGAGGGAATATCTCTCTTAAGAGCAGTCTGGAGTCTGCATCTGTTGGTCGTAGAAAACAACTCAACGGATGACAGACACAACCACATTCCGCATGCTCTTTAGCGAAACGACTAATAGGGACCCACTGCACCGCATCTACTTCATGACGGGCAAAATGTACCGTTGGTGAGAGATCTCCAATGTGTAGAAAAACAAAACGTGACTGAACAGCACCTGTGGTACTTATATGTCGACCTTGAATACTATAATCACGGAGTCGTCCCAAGAGAATAAAATCATTCGATTTTAATGGTATTCCAAGCATTTGGTAAACTTCCCGGAAAACTGTATGCAAATCGTCTACATCACCTACATCACGGCGGCCACCAGGGAATGATACACTTCCACTCCAACGATCAGAAGCCACATCTGCGCGTTTCACAAAGAGCATAGACAAGGATGAAAGTATTTCTGTGCTACCCGCACTTGCAAGGTGCTGCAGCAATGCTGAAGCCGAATGAGTGCCATCTCTGCATGCCAACAAATGACGGGCAACATTTTGATGTTGTTCATTGCCAAATCGTAGAAGAATGGCTGTAGCAGAGCGGTGGAGACTTGGTACGTAGACGTGGAGCCGACGTTCCTCCATACGGTGGGCAATTTTTAATAGAAAATTGACATCCACCGCAGGCAACGACATTTCCCTTGCTAATAGCGAATTTAATGAAATGAGAAAAAAACAAAAAATAAATAAATAAAAGAATTGGGGGAAATTACCTATATATGTCTCTTCTGCAAAAGTCACACATAGAGAATGGAAGCAGTAAGGATAAAAAATGATAAGAAAAATCATCCCAAATAATAATAATAATAATAATAATAATAATAATAATAACCATCATTATCATTATCATCATTAACAACAATACAGTCCATAAACAACAGAAACCCGCACACCTTCTTCTGTCATTTACTGCATCGCAGAGAACTGATATGCCCTCCTTTTCGTTCTTCATCTGATTTCTTCAATACCATTTATCCTTTTTTTTCTTATTATTTCCTTACACACACACACAAACACAGAGATATATATAGATAGATAGATATTCTACTCTGACCAACTCCCACTCTATCTGTCAAAGTGAGGTTCTATTGTCCCTTTTTTCTTTCTTTTTTTCTTCGTTGCCCAACACACCCACCCCTCAGCCTTGTTTATACCATCATTACCCCAAACCTACTGTAATGAAGGATCAAAGTGGTGTGGTGTCCGTTTCTTGTCAAGCCCCTCCTCCAAACGGGAGTCAAGAAAAAAAAGAAAAAACAATGAAAACAACAAGGAACCATTTTTTTTTTTTTTTCCTTTCCTTTCCTGATGAGCACTTCATACAGTAAAAAAGGATAAGAAAAAAGTTATTCTTGACAACAGCCCATAGGTTCCCCACCATCGGAAAAATAGAAATTTTTACATTCCAATGAGAAACTAGGTGAAAAGTGAAAAGAAGAAAGAATGAGAGAAATATGAATAGAGAGTTTTTTTTTTATTTTCTTCAGAATTGTACGGGTTGGCAGCAGAGGGAAGAAGAGAGAAAAATCTATTATTCCTATTTCTTCTAGTTCCTTTTTTTTTTTTTTCTTCATTCCCCTCCCCTCCCCTGCTGCTGCCACAGTAGTGCAGGTACTTCCCTTTCACTGATATTTCATCTGAGGCCCGTCAAATATATCAGCAGTCTTCTATTCCTTCCGTGTATTCTGACCCTCCTGTTTTTGTTTTCCTTTCTTTACTTATACTTACACGTAAATATATATATATATATATATATATATATATATTTATTATTTCTTAATGGCGATCGCGGCTTCCGCGTCGGCGTCGATGGCGATCGCGACTGTCGGAACGGCGTCGATGGCGATCACGACTGTCGGAGCGGCGTCGTTCTGGTGAGTCGCGACTGTGTTTGTCTCCTGCCAGTGGCGGTGGCGGTGGTGGTGGTAACTGCATGGCCGTCATGTTGGGATTGGCTGTTGGACTGCCCCAGTATGGATTGGCCCCTGGAGCGTTGTAAGCACCGCCAGCGCCAACGGTGATGTTTGACTGCATGGGCATGCGATACTCGGGCTGGCGCATCATCATAGACATTGGCCCAGACGGCATGGGGGCCGCCATGGCGGATATCGGCGGCGGTGGGAGTCCCGCCATCGCCGCAGCTGCAGAGCCGTACGGTGTGTACGGACGGGAATCATATCCACCACGATTGTTATTATACCCACCACGGCTATTGTTATATCCACCACGGTTATTATTATATCCACCACGGTTATTATTATATCCACCACCGCCGCGATTACCACGGTTATAACCACCACCTCCTCCTCGACCTATAAGATCGTACAATTCCGGTGGAACTTCTTGATTGGCACGGCGTAGAATGTCCGCTAGGTCGCGGATTGTCTTTGACGGGTCAGCAGCGCAGATGAAAGTGTAGGCATCACCTCTCTGTCCAGCACGTCCAGTACGTCCTGTTTTTTTTTTTTAAGTCAGGGTAAGAAAATACACACAAAAACAAAAAAAAAAACACACAGGCACAAAGAAACAAACACACACACACGCACACGCACAAAAAGAGAGAGAGAGAGAAACACCACGGGAAAAAAGAAGAGAAGAGAAGAAGTTCGTCAGGTTCAATGGCATCAGAATTAATCTGAGTAAAAGAATTAAAACGGTCGGTGTTGGCGGCAGTGTCTCCGGGGTGTGTGCAAGTACGTGGAACCCAATATATAGAGTCACCACTTTTTCTTTTTTATTTGCATTAACCCAATGTGTAGCCAAGGGAGGATTCAAGTTATAATAGACAGCATATGGATCAACAGGAGGGTGGGGGAGATTGGAGGAAAAGTAAGAATTCCTCACTCCCAGACCACCCCTGTAGCTGTCTAACTTTACTTTCCCTTTACTGTTTTATTCGGTGTGGAAATGTTATTGTGTGAAGGAACATTGCTGTATGTATATACCCCCCTGGCATCCATCTTCTTTTCCGTAGTCTTCATCTCAGAGTAGTTAGTATAGGTACATGGATGTACAGTACACAGTAAAGATACGGTCCATTAGTTATAAAAACAATTAATTATTTACACCACCCCAAGCAATAGAGCATAGGATGGAAGAAGACTACGTCAAAAAGAAGTATGTATACTTATGGATGCAAGGGAGGAAGTGGAAACATGTAAGAGCTAAGGAGAGAGAGCAATAATACCAACAACAAGAACAATAATAATAACAAAAAAGGGGCAGAGAGACATAAATGAAAAATAAAAAAATAAAAAAATGAAAATAAGCATGAACTGAAAAACTATAGTGTTCATGGCAAGTTTGGGTGTTATTAAACATATTAGTCTCTGAGCCCTTTTTTTTGTTTTGTTTTGTTGTGATATCGCTCAATTATTTCTCTCTCTCTCCTTCCATGTACACGGTTATTCAATGCATACAAGGTTAGCCTCACTAGTTTCAGGTACAAATGTAGATAAATACGCAAGGTTACGTCACACACACATACACACACACAGAAATCACTTCCCCCACCCCCACAGTAAAGAGTAAGTGGAAGCAGAGATGGAGAGAAAGGAAGTCACCATGGAAAAGGGGAGGATAATTTATTTATTTCCTCTACTTTTTTATACTTCTCTTTTCCGAACCTCCATCTCACACTCTTACACATACACAGACACACATAGATAGATACGGAGGAATGAGAGAATAATATTGCAGTTGCGCCTACCGTGTAACCGATGCTCTTGTTGCTGTTTTCTTTGGCAACAGCAACGGCTGTGGATTTGAAGGGGTGGGAATAGAAAGAATAATAGAGAGAGGAAAGAAGGAAAATAGAAAAAAAAAAGAAATAGAAAGGAAGAAGGAGAATGATAAGAAGAAGAATAAGAAATTATTTTATTTTATTCTCTCCTTCTTCTTAGTATATCGATCCATATAGCCTTCTCCTTCCCTTCCCTTCCCTTCCCTGCCTCTCTCTCATGATTCCCAACCACTCTACGCACGCAACTAGACCCTCTTTAACTCCGCAAAAAAATAAAATAAAAAAAAATAAAAAAACGCAACACCACAGGAAGACAACTGACGCCAACAGACAAAGACACGCATAATTTAAAAAGTAAGAGAGAGGGAGAGATTTTACTAGAGAGAGGGTGGGAAGTAACACAAAGAGGGGAGAAATGTTAATCGAAAATAATAAAAAAAAGAAACAGAGGGAGAGAGTAAGAGGGGTAGAAACGGTAAAACTCAACCGGAATAATGATCTCATACCAATACGATGCACATAATCCTCAATGTTTGTAGGCATATCAAAATTAACCACCACATCCAAATTCTTAATATCCAATCCACGAGCTGCGACGTCTGTTGCGACGAGCACCGATCGAGCATCACGGCGAAAACGATCTAGCACATAATCACGCTGTGATTGTTCCTTATCACCATGAATGGACATCACCGCACCACCAAGTATACGGCGTAAAGAGGAATGTAACGAATCTGCTGTACGTTTTGTCTTAACAAAAATAAGTACACGTTGTTGACCGAGTTTCTGCAGAATTTCCTCCAATCGACGCTGCTTATCATACTCTTCCACAACTATTACATGCTGACATACATCATTATTCGCGACAAGATCCTCTGAACCGACGTGTACACGAATAAAGTCACGTTGAAAACTTGCCGCCAAGTTACGAATTTCTTGTGGCCATGTTGCGGAGAACATAAGTGTTTGACGATCTGCGCGTATTTGCGAACAAATCTTTCGAATCTGCACCTCAAATCCCATATCCAGCATGCGGTCCGCTTCATCCAATACGAGATACGTCACCCGTAAGAGGTTGGTGGCGTGCATCTCGAGTAAATCAATCAATCGCCCTGGAGTCGCAATCACCACATGCACACCAGCGCGGAGTACGCGGATCTGCGGTCCCTTTGGGGTTCCACCGTATAAACAAGTCGTGGAGATACTTGGCACCCGTCGCAGCACTTTACGTGTTTCTTCTTCTATCTGCACAGCGAGTTCGCGTGTGGGGGCGAGGACGAGTGCAATAGGCCCATCACCGGGGCGTATGGGTGGTTGCGCCATGATGTGCAGGGCAGCTGGCACCATGAAAGCCATTGTCTTTCCAGATCCCGTCTTCGCTACACCAACAAGATCACGTGAGTTTAACAGAATAGGCCACGCAATAGATTGAATGGGTGTAGGGGCCTTGTAGCCAAGATCAATAAAGCCCTGGTGGATAGCATCAGGGGCAACAAGGTCAGAGAAGAGAAGCATTGGTTGTGGTACGCGATCACCGTAGATGGTTATGCGATTCTCACGCAGCCACTCTGCGGTCTCCGCATCGCTGCGCTGTTGTTGTGGTTTATAGTAATTCCACTGTGATGCCACAACCTGCACCTCGCCCCAGTTTACATCGCGGAGATTAGAGCCGAGGGCGGCCATGCGATCACCAGAGTAACCATCATTATATGCCATGTTTACCAATGTTAATCTAATACCCCCTTGTTTGGCGGACTAGGTGTAATGGCTCAGTACTTTTCCTTTGGGCTTCAGGTGATGGTATTTACAAATAATATATATCTGCTGAGGTGCTTCGAAATCACTGTATTTGTTCCTTTTTTTTTCACCTCGTTCTTCTCACGTTTCTTTTGCTTCTACTTCTTTTTTCCCTTCACTTTGTGAAATAACGAAGAGAATGTTTTTACAGGTCAAAAAACACCCAAAAAAAAAGAGAAAGAAGAAAAAAAGAAGAAGAAAATTTCTAAAATGTTCAGCAAGCACTCCGAGTAAAGGGGGTAAAACAAAAAAAAACAAAAAGAAATAAACCCTAGTACCATGCGCTCATACCAGCAACAATAGTAATAGTAGTAGCATTGGGCTGGTTTTTTGCATGGAGGGTTTCTGAATGAAAAGCCTATAGCAATTGCTCTCACTCATTTCTTTAACACCTCTTTCTTCTTTTCTCTCTCACGCATTCTATCTCTTGAATTTCAATACATATATGGATATACGTGTGACGCGGTGTTTCCATCTTTTTTTTTTCCCCCTCTAATGCATTCTCGTTTTTCTTTCCTTCCTTCCTTTCTTTCCTTCTCTATTCCAAATATATATGGATAGAAACTCTCTTTCTTTTTCTCTTTTTTTTCGATCTTCGGAATATGTTTGTTATTTTGTATTGTTTTTAGTTGTTTTCTGCTTTTTTTTTTCTTTTTTTTTCCTTTCTGTTTTGTACGGATTTTCCGCCAACAATGCTTCGCATTTCTCTTCCTCACTATTCTGGCCATAACTCCTCCTCATGTTCCCACGGTTGTTGCTCATTGGGGAAGGGAATTTTACCCTATCCATCTTGCTATCACTATCAACAGCAGTTCTACAGGGGGGGGTTTCGAACAAACAACGCACATGCAAATATGGGAGAAGCTCAGGCGTAAGAATAAAAAGAGAGAGAACATATGTATAACCAAAAAGAAAAACACACAACCACACGTCTTTTTCTTCTTGTCCTTCACTCTTCATTTCGGTTTTTCGTTTTGTTTTTTCTTCTTACGTCATCCTGTCCCACCTGAAATAGAAAGTAATAAAATTATAAACCTTTCAGTTAAGTAAGGGATACAGATCATGTGTAGAGAGATCACACAGACACACAGAAACAAAGAAAGAAACGTGTACATGTAAAGGCACACCTTCACCTTTCTTTTTTTTTTTTTTTTACTTTCGCTGCCGCTATTGTTATGGTTGTGGTTGTTTATGTCTCTCTAAATATCCATTCTCGCACATTTTACTATTCAGTCTTTTTTTATTTTCTTTTCTAATCCTCTGCAACCCCGTCTATGTCACTGAAGAAGCTATAGTCAGGTGTATGTGAACCCAAGAAACCAAACACCTTCTCATCTACCCCACTGGCCAATTCCAGAGATAATACACCCGAAGGTGGAGGCGGCGGAGGAGCAGTAGTAGTAGTGCTGGTGGTGGTTGGTGTTGTGGTTGTGGTTAATCCGCCTGATACTACTGTTGCCGTTGTCATTGATGGGGCTGCCACGGCAGATGGTGTATTGGTTACAAGTGAGGTCGTTTTGTGTGAGGTGGCAGAGCCCAATAATGCCCATGTGGCTGATTGTACGGTGAGTCCAAAGAGACCTCCAAAAAGGGCTATATTTGGTAATGGCAAATCTGTACGAACCGGTTCATAATGGCGTATAGGGGCTTGTTTAGATTGCATCGCCAAACGACTGATACCGACAACAGGTTGTGGTGGTGGAGCTTGTGTTTGTGTTTGTTGCTTTGCGGGTGAAGTATTCGCCATCTCCTTAAGACGTGCACTTGCGGTGAATGGTGTGGTTGGTGTTCCCCCAACGGCCTGTGGTCTTCGTGTGGGCGCGGCATTATTGTTGTTGCTAGTACTGCTGTGATGATTACCGATACCATCATCCTCTGCTGTCTCCTTTGCCTTTGGTGATTGTCCTCCACCTGCTGCTGCTGCCGCGGTGGCTGCCGTCTTTCCCTGCGCTCCGGCGGCGGCCACCACTGCGGCGGCTGTAGTGGCGGTTGTTGTTGTTGCCGTCGTCGGCAGAGTGGCACCTGTTGCAGTGGCAGCTGCTGTTGCCGCAGTAGCAGTAGTATTATTATTAGCATTATTATTATTATTAGCAGCTGCAGCTGCAGCAGTACTTGCGGCCACAACAGCCGCTGCAGTGGTGGCACCCGAAGCGGTTGCGGGACTGTGGCCTGTTGTTGTGCTGTTGACATTATTACTGCTCGTATTGGCGGCGGTGGCTACAGTGGCGGTGGGGTTTTTCGGTACTTGTCGATTACCGAATTTCGCAATCGCCAACTCCAGCATCTCTTGTCGTTTCTTATTGCTCTTTGGGTAACTACGTAGGGCCAAAATAAAGACTGCCTGCAATGTATGCTGATCTTCGCGGTTAACGAGTTGTCCACCGGAGCTCAGTGCGGCGTTCATAAGATCCACCAGGTCACTCTTCAGTTCATCCGCGGTATCTTCCTTCTTTTCCACACTACCTTTCTTTCCAGATCCCTTGCTTTGGGCGGAGTTGCTATTGTTATTATTATTAGAATTATTATTATTATTACTGCCATTGTTATTGTTGCTGCTGGCAAGCGTAGGCAGATTACCACTTGTCAGATATTCATATGCTCCGAGTAGATATCCATCCACCGGTTTCTTCATCGTTTTGAGTAATTGCATAAACACCTTCACATCTCCTGCCCGCAATGCGGCGTATGCAAGGAGTTGTCCTACACGTGTAGTGCAATTACTCGGTGGATGCCGCATCATGTGAAGTGCACACTGCACGGTATCTACAATACGTGCATTCTCTATACTGAATGTGAGCATTTCCTTATCATCCGCGTCATCAATCTTCGCAGCGATGGGGCGGCTCTCGTTGAGTACATGTGTAACGGCATCAAACTGTGCTTGTGATGGGTGTGTGAATCCCCAACGACACCGCGGCCCCTCACACGGTTTATCACGCTTGAAGTTTATTTTTCCCTTAATGAAACTGCAACACCAATTGTCTGGATAACCATTGAGTGGACAGCTGGAGCCACCAATACACGTCCGCCGCAGCTGGTGCTCGCAGGGATGACCGAAACTAAACAATTGCATTGTCATTGTGCAGAAAAAAACTAAATTGATATTGGGTTGGTAAAATATTCTCAATGACAAATGATGATGATTAGAATGGTGATAATAACAATAATAATAATAATAATAGGAATAATAATAGGAATAACAGCAGTAACGAATGAGAATGACAATAATAATAACAATAATAATAAATAAATAATACTCTTAACTTTTTACTATTGTTTCTTCTTGTTTTCACCTTATTGTTTGCTTTTCTTTCTTCTCGGTTCTGCAGATTCTTTTATTTTTTCCTTCTTGTCTACCTTCTTGCTTGTTTTTTTCGTGCTTCTCTACAGTTCCTTTTTTTTCTTTTTTCCTTGTTATTCTTCTTCTTGTTCTTGTTATTTCCTTACTTCTTTCTCACCTGCTCCCCAATGTTTGCCCCTCAAATTGCTGTCTACACAACACACACACAGACAGACCAGCAACAACTTCACACAGTGGACGGTGAATGCACCAATAACCGCAGAGAACAGGAAAGAGTTAAATGCAAAGGCGGAGAAACAAAACAAAAAAAAAAAAAGAAATGTACTGTGGCTTTCCTAAACTAAACTAAAATGAATAAATAAATAAATAACACAACACGTCTACACACTTCGGTCCTCGCTTAGCCGATGGCTATGCGATGTGATTTGCTAACTGCTTCAAGTCGTATTTATATATAAATGTATAAGTGTGTGATTGGGAGGTTAAAAAGCAAGAAGGAAAAAAAAAAAGAAAAGAAAAAGAGTGAGAAAAAAAGGACATTTGTGGGTGTTCTCAGAAAAAGTGGTAAAGAACAGAACAACAAGTGTTAAATCAATAAATATGTTTACATAGCAAGATCAAAAGAAGGAAAAAAAAAGAGAGACAGTAAACGCCACTTTTCCAGAAGTATATATATATATATATATATATATATATATATATATTTCTTCTTCTGTCGTTATTTAAAAGTCATGACAGCGGCCGTTGCTTTCCCAATCTCCATATCGTGTTGGATTCAATTGTGTACTGCCGATGGGAACACCCGTCTCTTCATCCACGATATTTGATGGCTCTGCACCTGCGGCCTTGTTGAATAGGGACTCTGGACTGCCAATGGATGTAGTGAAGCGTCGTACCGTTTCCTCTGAGAGGGGCTGCTGGCAGTTGGGATCTGCCTTCCCGAGCAGTGCGAGTCTATGCTGTAGATAGGTCTTATCATGAACGGCAGACATGAAGATATTGCCTTCAGCGCCAATCCACAGTATGGTTGCACGACGGAGCATATGTAGATATGATTGTTTTTTTTTTTTTTTTTACTTTTTACTTTTTTCTCTCTTTGTTTCTTTTTATAGGCAAAGTAAACGTCACCACTACTATTTCACGTGTTCGCTGATGTTTTCTTTTTGTTTTTTGTTTTTAATGTATCTGATTATACTGACCTTCTTGGTAATGAGAAGAATGAGAGAGAGAGAGAGAGAGAGAAAGAGTAGTGTAAAGTGCAGATGTACAGCAGACTGCACAGTGTATGAGGGATCCAAATAACCAATAGCTCTATCCACAGCAGAGTATATACTAGCAAAAAAAAAGAGATCGAGATCGAGAGCAAGAGAAAGAAAGTGAGAGTCCTCTTCTTCTTTCTTCTCCCTTTTCCTTGTTTTTTTTTTTTCTCTCATATTCCACCACCCAGAATCATAATAACAATAATAAACAAGTAAAGAGATACAAAGAAAAAAGCCGCAAAATAATAATAATAATAATAATAATAATAATAATACACTGTATCACTGTTTATATATATATATATATACTAATGCATCCCCTTTAGGCTAACGTGGTAAAAGTGGTGAAGTGCTGCCTTGGCGAAGGGCGTTAGACACAAGTGTGGCCGCAACTAATTTTCCATCTGCGAGACCAGCCAGCAGCACAGACGGTGTAAACACCATACAACGCACACCAGAGTGTGATGTGAGTACAGGCGCTAGTTGCAGTCGACTCGCTTTAAATAATATATTTTCCTCCAAAATAAAGGTTGTATTTGTAGTGGTTGCGTTTGTCGTTATTGCTGTGGGTGTTGGCGTTACGGTATCTATTACATGAATATCATCTGTTTCCACACAAGCGGCCTTTGCTTCTCGAATCGTACGGAATTGCAGCATCAGTGCATGTCCATCACCTGTCCCAAATGCCACGAGATCATCATAGCGACTCACAGCTAAACAAGAAATTGCCACTCGTGGTGTTGTTGGGGTATTGGGTGTGAGAATGTATACATTAGAGTTCCACACATCATACAGTGCACTTCGTCCATCTATGGAAACACAGAGAACACTGTCAATACTAGAAAGATATACCGCATACTCAGGCACGAAAGGAATCTCACGACGCATTACCACTTCTTTTTGGAGTACAAGATCAATAAGAAGAATAACCCCAACAAGAGAACGGTCTGCATATCCTGAACGTTTGGACTGAGAAGAGGAACTACCTCCAGTGAATCCCTTTCCTTTTCCTCTTTTTCCTGTTGTACTGTGTATACCCCCCTCATCCTCATCCTCTTCCATATCCTCTGTCTTGGGATAGTCAAAGCCTACTACGAGAAGAAAAGACATTTGATTTCCACAGAATAATACCGACTTTACTCCACCAGAGGGAAGTACCCGTTGTATAAATAGTGGATCATTTACAGTAGAAGAAAGGCCAAAACGCCATCCACAGATGCTTCCATCTGCCAATCCCACTGCAAACAGGTACCCGTTTGGTGAGTATGCAATATCTGTTAAGGCATAACTACCACGACAAATAAATGTTGCCACACACTCTGTAGAAGTAAAAGAATATAAATCTACATGTCCATCCTTATTACTAGCGAGAAAAAACGGAAGATGAGGATGTGACGCAATTTGTGCGTTAGCAGCCATTGAAAAACGTGGCCGACGTTGTAAGTATTGTTGTAGTGATTGACGAGTCTCCCCAACAGTACTTGTAAGGCCCGTTGTTGTTGTTGTGGTGGTGGTGGTGGTGGTTGATTTTGCTTTTGCTCTTTCTATTGCTGCATGAAGAGCTGCCGTTGTTTCCTCAATACTATCTGTTTCTGTATTTAAAGATGTGGAGAAGGCCGCAGTTGCCATATTTCGATCTGGCTGTTCTCGCAGTATAGCTGCCTCATTATCTCCGGCTAATATCTCGCGATAACCATGACCCACTGCCGTCCCTGCGCCTGTGCCCCACACCAACGTATCGCAACTCGAACGATCATAATCTACAGAGTAAACAGAGTGTGAGGCCTGCTGTAATACCAGTCGATCTGTAGTGGTGAGTTGTAGCCAATCCTCACGTAAAGCCAAATCTAATAACATCTCACGATAACTGGAATGGGTGTGATGACGCCGCAACCATGCCGTTTCCATGTGTCGCAGGGTTATCACTGCCCCATCGCCTAATTGACCGTAGAGAATATGCGCCGTAGTGTGTGGATTTGTTGCCTCTCGCAGTAGCATCACGGTGGCATCTGTGTCTGCAGAGATCTTCACAGTCGTCTGTGGGAGTTGCCAGAAAAACTCAGCGTGGGCTATACAGAGATCCAGTGATATGGTACTTGTCTGTGGTGGCATATCTAATACAACTCCACTGGCACCGACAAGAAGATTGCGTTCTAGTAGTTCTGCGATGCGTCGTAGTTGCAGTTCTTCTTCAATAAATATACCATTAGGATTTGTGAGAAGACTATCATCCAGATACTGTACAGATGTCACACATTGAATTAACTGTTCGGATGCCGCATTAAATCCCAAAGTAACACGACAGAGTAAATCACTAAGTAACCATAACAACAAATGTGTATATGGTGGGACGTGTTTAATTTTCGTCAGTGTGGATCGTAGGCGATTGACCTCCTCTCGCAACTCACTTAATGAGCATAGTTGTAGAAAGGCTGCACACCAAGTGAGGAGTAACGTACGGAGATGTTTCTCATGGAGTTCAGGCCGCAATTGAACACCACCGTTATTATTACGATCGAGAAATAATGTAGAGTACATAGGTACATGCATCCCATCTTTTTCTCTATCCTCAACATTAAGAATATTATCCACATCTCTGTTGTAATGATCCTCATCCTCCTCTTGCTGTAATCGCTCTACTGTCATGGATTGAACCCGACTCTGCACAGTGCGTACTGCACGAAGATATGAAATTACAGAGTCTACGGTCGCAGTGTCTGCCTTCTGCTCACGAAGAACATCAGTAATGGATGAATATCCCAACAATGCATTAGCGAGAGCATAATCAGCATTACTAAGCATAACTGACGTTAATGTCAAACGCGTAGCTATAATAGCGAGACGTGACGTCACGCCTAACAACTCATCCATTGTGGGATCCGTTTGACTATCCTTTTGTTCTTGTTCTTCTTCTCTTTCTTTTTTTTCTTCTTTTCCTTGTTTATGATGAACATTGTAATTTTGATATTGTACTGTGGCTGCAAATAAACGAGCGAGATGATCTTCAATGACACTCAGTGGGGCACGTCTGCCAACAGCAACTGTCATTCGTGACAAACACACCACAATTTCATATATACTTTTATTGTTTCCCTTCTTGGAATAAACATCTCTACCATTTGCTGAAATATCACTTAGTATCATTTTCTGTGTTTGGTGTTGAGTATACTGTAGTTCTAGTTCTATCGCTACAGCTGTGGTAGGATCTAGAGAATCCATTTTATTTTCCTCAGGGATACGCTTTGATAATGCAGATGATGTTAATGATTCCTCTACTACAGGTCCCCCTCCTCTTCTCCCATTACTGTTATTGTTACTCCTATCACGATCATTATTATTCGTATTATTATTACTATTATCATTATCATCATCATCCGAGTCAAACCCATGGAACGTTAAGGTTCCTGTGTTAAAATCCGCCTCCATACGAGTTGTGTTCGCTTTCGCCACTCCTATCATTTGTTTATTTCCCCCTTCTGTACGTTGCAGATGTGCACGTAATGTTTCCGCCTCTCGAGAGCACATCATTACTGGCAACCACATTCTTTCCGCACGTGATAGACGTGTCATTTGTACTAACAGGAGTAATTCACGCAGCGGTGAAAATTCTTCTCCACGTCCACGCCGTCGTGCATACCGCAGAAGAGACAATCTATTTGCCACATCCACAGTACCCTGCGGTAGTTGTTGTGATGATAATGATGATAAAGATGATGATAATGATGAGGATGATGAAAGTAGAAGTAACATGGCCTCTCGTACACAACCACAACGCCAGCGAAGAGCTGCTTCTTCCCACACGTTCATAGAACCACATTGTTCTCCCTCACGGTGTCGTTGTTCAATAAACCAAAGCAGATCATCCTTATTATCATTAGAAGCCAAACGAAGAACAAAGAGTGCGAGAATGACACTACCATGACGTTGTAGAATAATTTGAGCAGCACTTCGAGCATCACCGGCTAATACAAAGAAAGCTGCACCGTATAGTACCTGATTCTTACTTACTGCAGCAAAAGCATTGGTAGAGGCGGCTGATTTATTTTTTTCTTCACTAAAATTGCGTGAGAAAAAAGCATGTAGTTTTGTGTTTTGCTCCGCTTTACACAGTGCCGCTAGGACTCCAACCTTCCCAGCAATACAGTACATAAGTGCACATGCCCGTACATCCTTCGTTACTTGATATTGACCCCGCGCCACTCGCTCTGCGAGCAGACGTAAACTCTGCAGTGAGTGAAGCCACAACGGCACCCTAGCCGTCTCTAATTCCATCCAAGGCACAGCGCCCTTATCACCATGCGCCTCGAGAAGTGTTTGCAGTAATTGCGGTTGGGCATCGGAGAGGGTTGCCCAAATAAATGCAGCATAATTGGAGGAAATATCATGTCCTGATGTTTCACTCAGTCGAAGACGAAGCCGAAGTTGTTGAAGTTTGTGTGTAAAGAGGAAACGAGATGCTGCGGTATCCATGCTAGCATTAGAGGACTTGGCCATACGCATGGCGTCCAACACACAGAGAAGTTCTAATTGATCCTGACTGTTCAATCCAGGGAGTTGTGTAGATGGAAGAAGCTCCAGGACTTGATCCAGTACTTCTAATGAAATAAAAGATCCAAACAGAGTTGCATCATCACTCCCTTCATCCTGAAGGAGAATTTGTTGTTGTTGTAGTGATTCAGGGGTGAATGGATTATTAAATCTAGCCATCGCAGCAGCGAGATTCATTTCCTCTAATGCAACAGAAGGTCGTTCACAGAGATGAATACTCACTGGATTACAACATAACTCTCTTGCTACCATGTATGGTTCCATCTCAACAGGGATAGAGGCATCTCCTTCAACAGAAGATAATGTTGTTGTTTTTTTAGCAAACTCCAATACAGATTCCAATATGGAGCCAAGTATCCGTGGTTTCCCCATTATGAAAAGCAGCAACACAGTCGAAGGGTGATATAACTCCAAATTTACCGATCCATTGTCATTTCTCCCTTTGAATAATGGGGAAACCTGCTGTAAAAGAGGTGTAAGGATATTGGATGTGTGAATGAAAACTTCATCAGAGGAAATAAACAACATCTGTGCTAATTCTACTTCTGCATCAATATTGCACCTATTATCCTCATAGCTGTTTATACTAACACCACTACTACCACTATTAATATTATTATTATTATTATTATTATTATTATTATTATTATTATTATTATTATTACCACAATTAATACAAGTGATATTTTCTGTCCATATCGGAGTCATTGCAGTAATTCCCTCACACCAAGACATGTCCTCACGTGGAGAATTTTCTTTCCACTCATATCCACTTTTTTCTCCATGCTTGGCGATACGATTTCTCCACTCAATGGATTTTTGATGGCGTCGCAGCAAATAAACATCACCATTACAAGATAAAACAAACGATATCACATCATAAACCTCCAACTCCAATACAAATACAGGTGGTTGAGTGATATCTGTAAGCAGACTTAATCCATATAGAAAAAGAACCGTCTTGACTTCAGCATCCCCTGTTAATCCCAATACACCAACTACAATATCACTACTCACAAGTCGCACCGCTCTAAGTTGTAAAACACGATATTTGGGAAAAGCTTCAAAAGGTCGCAGAGAAAAGGGTGGATCATTAGGCAACATCGGTGCCCGAACAGTAATGCTGCCAGTGTTTTTATCCCATTCGCAGGAAACCTCATTTCCATTTGGATATGAGCAGCTGCAGCAGTAATTATTATTATTATTATTATTATTATTATTATTATTATTATTATTATTATTATTATTGCTATTCTTCTTCTGTACGTCAGGCGCGGTGGTTATCAACCGCACCGGTGCTGTTGCAGGAGAACTCGCACAGGGAAAAAGAAGTTCATCTTCGGCGGCGGTAAAACTCTCAAGAGTGGCATTAGGAACACACCACCATTCTTCCTTACTAAACACTGAAAGTAATGTGGAAAAGCAAATTCCCTCCGTAGTAAAACGCACTTGTGGTACCGTAAGACCCGCTTCCCACAAAGTCAATGAAGAGACATTTTCTTGCACATTTCTCTCATTAAAAGAAATATTAACACTTTCACTACTATTATTAACATCAGATACTTCTTCGAGTGGGCCATATTTCGCAATTAGCTGTTTCAGAAGTTTTTCCGCATCATTATTACACGCTTTCATTAATAATGGAATCATACGCACTTTTTCAGGACATTTTATATCCATAAAGTGATGGACTTCTTCTTCTGGACTCTTATTTGTTTCTTCTTTACTCATACAAGTTTCACTAACACATTCCTCTTTCAGATTCTGCAAGAGATGAACATTCTCTGGAGGAATCTTCGCCATCAAGAGCAAAGTGGTTTCCGCAACTCCAGAGTTTCTTAGAACTCGCTCAAGCACAAAAACACGTTCCTGTGAGAATCCTAAAACAAAAATTTCTTTTTCCATACCCCAAAAAGTGGAAAGACGTGGTGGTAGTTTATCTACACCAAGTGTTAGAAATGATTCCACATCTACCTTTCCAGTTAGAAGGTCAACCATAACTTTTGCTATCATACCATTTGCGAAATGTGTTAATAAGCGGTATCGACGGGCACCTAGTAGTTGTTCCGCCTGAGGTGTAAAAGTACCAAATTCAACTGCTCTTGATTTCCATATAGGTAAAACATCCATACGAACAATATTACCATAATCTTTCTGTAATGGAAATAAAATTTGTGAAGCTACAAGTCCAGCCGTTCGTTGTTTAGGAAATCCTCCTTGTTTCTGTTGCCCAAAACGATAACTTGTAGTACGAATAGTACCATCTTTATCAAGAGAAAGAAATTCTAGTTTATTACTTAAGGATGTGATATCACGAGAACGAGAAAGATTTGGAACTACTTTAGTAGCAATTGGTGAAGATGAAAAAGTATTAAGCGATACAGTTCCGGCAGGTAATAATTGTAGTGAAGGATCACTATCCTGTCGACATGGCATTAGATTTGTATGGTTATCTTTCCTTCCCTGTGGTGGCCATACCACCGGCATTGATTGAAGAGTAAATAGGGCAACAGACAGTCGTCCATCCTGTGGATGTTGACAAGTAACACAGAGAATGGTATGACTAGCAACACGATGCCATTCAATTGCCAGAACTTTATAAACACCTAATTTTGCTGAAACCCCACGCCATGCAAACTCATCCTTTATGGGGGAATTAAAAGTGAGAGAAGGTTGTCCTTGTGTTGGTGAAAATAAAACACTTGGTTCATTAAGTGATGCGGAGTCAGAGGATCGTAATATATGCCGTTCTTGATGACATGGTTTTACCTTTAATGGGAATACCTCCACAGCGGAGGAGTGAAGAGCAAAGGCGAGATGCATGTTTGTTCGGCATACAGCTAATGTACTGTATGATCCCCAGATACGCCACTTTACTACATGACTATGTGGATTAAGCTCAATCACCACAGCCTCATCACTAAAGAGAATAGCAAGTGATGAGAAAGCAATGAACTCCGCATCAACCGCCTCTCGTATTTTATTCTTTTCATTTTCCTTTGATACTGAACCTAATCTTGACAGCCATGGTGATGAAACTACATTAGAGACATCAGATGCTGTAGTATCCATGCGATGCATCATAGAACTACACACAGGTGTGTTTACATGTACTTTTCTATAATGCATTTGCATATCATCATGACCCATGTCTACTATAGTTACACCAGATGTCAAGAGAACAACTATTCGAATATCATCACTTAATTGGCACAAACGAATTTGACGTAGGATACTATTACTACTAGAGCCATGTGTCTTTTCCCCATGTTCATTATCTCCCACATTAAAGAGAGGACCGGACCCACAGAGTGCCCCTTCTCGGAAGACAAGCAGACGATTCCCTGAGGCCATCACCACTCGGAGTTCTCCTCTAGTTGTAAACGTATAGGAGATGTGACTACATGACTGTGGAAAAAAAACATTCTCAGAATGCATTCTTCTACATAAATATTTATCTATTTCTTTCTTTCTGTATATGTGTATGTATACACCTGTGTTGTGTTTGTGATATAATCCCCCTAGTTTCAATTAAGAAACACGAAAAAAAGAAATGAGATGCTTAATTTTCAAAGAGTTCTCGCCTCCAACTCTTTTTTTTTTGTTTTTTCCTTTCTTCTATCAGAGTAGTACTACATCCAAAAAAAAAAAAAAGCCAGCAAAAGATAGAAAAAAAAAACCATTAAAATATGCCAAGGGGTGAAAGATTCCCAAAAGAAGAAAAAAAAAAAAACAAAGAAGGAGCATACACAGTGTTTGGCAAAACGTATTAGGTAAAAATAATTTAATAGAGGAAAAAAAAAAAAAAAACACGACACACCAACCCTTTCCAAGGTTTGAATCAGTATAGCTGTTTTCTTTGTTTTTCTTTTTTTTGTTTTTCTTCATTTAAACCTACCCCCTGTAAGGTATTCTTAATCAATAGCTGCAGCACTAATACCAGAAACCCAATGCTCCCAGTCCTCTGCAGAAACATCGTCAATATCATTTCCCAATACACTTGTGTGGATAACTAGTAAACGACCAACACCACATTCACGTACCACATAATAGACAGCCCCAGACTCTCCAAGACGAATCCATACCGAATGTACCTCTCCTTTTATCAGTTTCTGTCTTAAGGAGGGTATTACCTCTTCTTGTACCTTTTGTTTACGGAATACAGCTGTTTTTTTATCTAGTGGCACATCATACAGGTGCTCTCCAATGATGTAGTTCACATAATCTTCAGCAGACCGAAATTCCTTTAAAAGTACAACTGTTATTTGGCGAGTTAATTCTTGTTTGGTGTCTTCCGCTGTAATGGTAACGGAACCCAGTGAGATAGTACTAAAGGCCAGAGCAGGAGAAACAACTACGTTAGTGTATGCATCTGATGAGGAAGGTAGAAGAACAACGAGATGTCCCTGTCGGTAAAAAAAACCTGATTTTTTACCCACACCCAATTTTGACCAGGAATTAGTAGTGGCAATAGATAAATAAAATGAGGAAAGTAACCACTCGCACTGAGATCGATAGGCATGTACATCCTCCTTGAAATTCGTTGTACTAACAGTAGAATCAATAGCAGATACCTCTTCCTTTACCTCTTTCTCATTCTCATTCTCTGAGGCTGGAGTCAACAACACCACACAGCAATCACTACCCACTCGTGGAGCTGTGATGCACGCAATCACTCCTTCTTTATTGTCATTCCCCTTTGAAAGAAAATATAATGTACGGCGTGGAGTCACACAAGTTGTTGTTGTTGTTGTTGATGATTCCACCGCATCAAAAAGGAGGGTTTGCTCATGCATCAACTTCACACATTGCCACCCACCAGATTGAACGTGTTTTTCCCACTCCTGCTCCACTGCAGTGTGGCCAACAAGGCAAATCCCTGGCTCAAGTGGTAAGAGTACCACCACAATGGGAATACCCATCTGCACAGTCACACACAAACCTTCAACTAAAAGATGAAGTTCCTTTGCCACTTCCTTTTGCAGCCATTCACCCAATTCACACAACCTTGGATTCCATAGTGTGGTAGAAGTGAGATGTTGAGCTAATTGAACTACACAGCACCCACGTGATGTATACACACCCTCAACTACAGCCAGATAAGGGGTATTATTATCTATCACTTCATTTAAACAGAATACGTAGCGCTTCTTCACATACTCAACAATACGTTCAAAAACCTGCGTTATATCCATAGACTTATCGTCTGCTACACAGAGAACCACACCAATCAACAACACAGAGTGATCCAGTAACGCTGCCAGTGGAGTGCGGGACGAGGCTTTTTTATCATGAAGCTTTTCTACTTCCCAAACAACACACATTGGTGATTGTTCACCTTGCGGATGGAATGAAGAAGAAGAAGATGATGATGATGATGAAAGTAACTGTTGCTGCAGCCGCTCTTGCAGTGAAGATACTTCTGTTGCCGCAGTGCGTGGAAAAAAATGCTCCGCAATGAACAGAGAATCCCCTGAAGCGTCAAGACGTTCAAAGTGTGCTACGTTAAACGAGAAACCCTGTGAAACATCATGGTGTTCACACAATGTCCACCCTTCAGGAGCAAGAAGAGTCTGACAAGAAATCCCCTTGACCTCATATTCTACAAGATTCATTTCACCTAAAATGTATGTGTGTGTGTTTTTCTTTTTTTTTTCGTTTTGGGTGTTGTTGTTGTTGTTGTTTCTTTCTTTCTTTTTCTCTCTTTTCCTCACTGTATTCTACTCCCGCACGTATATGTACGTATATGTGTATCTCTGTATCTGCTATACCAAAACCCACACAAACACAGAGAAAGAAATAAAGGAAAAAAGAATAAGAACTCAAGTAGGTTATCACAAACAATGATACGCGAGTAAAGATGCTTGTGAAGGAAGTAAAAGGAGGAAGAAAAACGAAAAAAAAAAAAAAATACCTTATGTCGTACCTTTCCTCTAAAAAAAGAGAGAAAAAAAGGGGGAAAGTCCTAGTATATTTCTTTATTTTGCCTTCAAGATATATTTATATATATTTAAAAAAAAAAAAAAAAACTACACCAGTAATCCCCATACGACTCTTCATTATATATTATTACTACGTGATGACGCAAAGAAAACTACCTTCAACCATCCTTTTCTGTACAAAGAAGAGTGGTTTAAGTCGAGCTTTTTTAGGGGGTTTTCAAACTCTACACCTTTTCAACGAAACCTCATATTGATAATCGAGAAAAAACGATGTGTATTTCTTTTTTTCTTTTTTTACCAGACACACATTAGGTCAAACTCTTCCTCTTTAGAAACTCTCATATACATATATATGGCCTAAGGAAGAAACAGCGTAAAAAAAGAAAAAAAAAATAGCGAAATAAAATCATCTCTCTGAGTTGTAAATGATGATTTTTTGCACGACTATTATCCGGTGTATTCTTTTACGACATCAGAGCCGAAAAAAAAAAAAAAAACGATGAAAAAAAAGAAGGGGGGTGTGTGGATCATCAACTGTCCAGTACATCAACAAGAAAAAAAAAAAAAAGTTCAACTTGTTTTTGTTATGTGAATTCACTGTCTTACCTCAAAAGAGTCAAATAAAGAAAGGGAGTGAAATCAATAAAAAAAAAAAAAGAAAAAAGAAAAGAAAAAAGAAAAGAAAAGAAAAGAAAAGAAAAGAAAAAAAAAAAAAACAACAGTACAACATTCCCTTTCTTCTTGTCAACGCAAAGAAAAGGTATTCAATTGGTGGCATTACGAGTTAAGGGGGTGTTTTGCCACTCTTCTGAAAAAACGATGTAGACAAGCTACTATCATAGTATCCTCAAGATTCACCACGATGAATCCCACCGTCACCAAGACTGCCCCAACAATGTAAAGAGGAGTGAAGGTCCTGTGCTGCCACACTGCATCCACAATCATTGATAATGGTGTTGATAGCGTTAGACCAAGAGTTGCCACAAGAGGTGATGTAAGCACAACGCTGCGTGCCCATAATACATCACTAAGGTTCGTCCCAATAAGGGCATTCACTACTAAAGGCCAGAACTGTTGGAGAGTTGGTAATGCAAATATTTCAAACTTAACAGCATCTAGAATGGGTAAACCTGGCCACATGGCAACAAGATTCACAACACCAACCATTCCAAAAGCCATAGCCATACTATACCGATCATCATCAGGAAGAAGCCACTTAAGAACAGTAGTATAAATAGCGTAGAACATGGCAGAAACAACTGCAAGAATATCACCACTAACACCCTCACCTGCTAAACCACTTTTACCATCAGAGAAAGCAATCATCACAGATCCACCAATACATAACACTACAGCTCCCACTTTGAAAATAGAAACTCGATGACCCAATAATATGACGGAGAGCAGAAGTGTCCATATACAGGATGTAGAACTAAGAACAGTGTTAGAAGCAACAGATGTCCTCGAGAGTGAAAGATTAAAAAGATAATTGGCCACAAACCAAAACGGACAAAATAGACATGCACAACGAAAAAGTTGGAATTTGCTGTAGGGTCTAATCCTTTCCATTTCCCCATCATAATCACAAGGTAACAACTCTTCATCATTATCATTATCATTATTATCTGGAAGTCTATTTTTGGTAGCAATAGCACTATTTCCTCTTCCTCTTCCTGCTGATGCTGCTCTATTATTATTAGCATCCTTATTAGTATTCGTACTGGTATTTCCCATTCCGTCATCGAGTGTAGGTGGAAAAACTTCTACACTATCTATCATCTCATACCCTTCTTTTCCCTTGTCGTCTGTAACAGCAGCAGTATTGGAGTTAGATCCAGCGAAAACATCCCTAACATGAGAATCAACAAAAATAATAGGCACCGGTTTCCCCGTTGTCTTCCACGGAATGCGTCGCCATGATGGAATCACGAGATAACCCAAATTCCAGAGAGCAAACCCTGTGGTATTAAAATAAGTTAAAAAATACGGTTTCTCGTACTCCAGTTCTCCAAATATGTGTTGAATCCATACGGATGACCCTACCCAAATAACGGTAACACACAAAATCAATAAAACGCCGAGAGTATGCTTACCGATTGCAATACACTTCCATCGACGCTTATTAAAGCATAAACAGCAGCAAGTGGATTTTTTTTCTGCGTAATCTTCTCCTGTATATATCTCTTGAAAGTCTCCTGGAGGTGCTGGTGTCGTGGAATCAACCGATTGTTTCGCCCCTTCCAATATAAGTCCAACTGTATCCGCATCATCAGCCCCAGTTTCTCTTCCCATAGGGGATGTAAGAGAAGATGGTTTGTGGTTACTCATTAATTCTTCTGGTTTTCTTTCTTTCTTCTTATTCTTTTTTCCTTTCTTTGTGTAGGTTACAAAAACGAAATGAACGAACTTTCTTATTTTTTAAGAAAAAAAAAACAGGGAAAAGAGAATAAAGAAAAGAGTCAAAAAAGGAGAGGTATTTCTCATTTATTCATTTATTTTTTATTTTCTTTTATTTTTACGACTCTTCACATCTCCGAATAATTACTTCCTAGTTATTGTTATTGCTGTTATTTTCTTTTTTCTTTTGCGGATGAGAGGGAGGGGGAGAAAACTTGTGAATTCACTTAGGGAAATAATTAAAAGAGATATAGAAATCAAGTAATAATTTCATTTTAATCTCCCTTTTGTGTGGTAAGAAGAATCCACAACAACTAGCCATTAAACTTTTGCAAAAAGCAAAACTTATTTTCGTTAAAAACCCTACAATCCAGTGAATGATTAACCCCATTTTCCAACACTCTTGTCTCATTCATCAAGTGAGCACATAAAGGTTCCTCGCTGTAATGATCAACTAAATTAACATATCCACATTGCTTAAGTGTAGTAGTAGCATCTATAAAATGTTTTAATGGAACTAATGGATGTGGTGTGAGACAACGAACGTGCGAGGTCTCTGGGTCGCCAAAGCAATGAGGAAACACCATACACCCTTCATAGCGTGGCTTGAAGGCCTCCAACATTCGATACCCATCACCAGGGCATAAAACCGTCATATCGTAGGCACGACAAGGTATTAAAGGAAAACTGTTATTTGGCAACAGCATAAGACGACCAAAATGGTTAAACACTGTGTGTGATCCATTTGGCTGACGGTGTACACATGTTAAATCAACACCTGTGTTAAAGAAACCGAACTTACGCATCATTCGAACCATGGCAAACATTCCCATTCTATAGTAAGGTAAGTGTCTTTTTCTTACCGATATTACTTTAAAGTATGTTAAGTTAGCAAGCTTCTTAAATGAACTTCCCAGAGAACGCAAAAGTGGTTTGCAGTCTTCCATCGTTGTTAAAACATGAAAATCCAAATCACGATCATTCGCGACACGTCCTTGACGAATTATACCCAACAATGTACCATCTGCTGGCCAATATGTGAGTTGGTGTTCTTTCATTACAGCATCCACTATTGCGTAGATGCGTCGTAACTCTTGTTCAAGCGTACTCATAGGAAAATCCATTAAAAATCCTTTTTGTAAACATATAGGGGGATTGGTACCAAACGGTTTAAGAGGATTCCCAATATAAGCAGGCATAACAGTATTGTTATCGACCTTTTCAAACAATTCCGGTACCTTCATACCCACTGAGAGCACATGCCCGGGAAGGAGGGCATCCTCTTCACCACGTACTGAACCTATTCTCTGTTCTCTATCCTCCATTTCATCACTGTAAAGAAAGAGCATAGGAATTGGTAAAAAGAAAAGAACGATGCCTATAAGAAAAAAACGAAACTTCATTGTGCGAAAAAACATTAGGAAACGCTAGTTTTATATTATGACGACTCATGCTATGGTATAAATGAAAAACTGTAAAGAAACGAGAAAAAGAAAAAGAAAAAGAAAAAGAAAAAATAATTAAATAAATAGTAATAATAATAACAAGTATGTATAATAGTAAGAATGCATGTTGTCGTCGATAATGATAATGATAATAATGTTGTTGTTGTTGTTGTTGTTGTTGTTGTATTCCGTTCTTTTTTTTTTTTCTTTTCTTTGTCTCTGGAGGGGAGGAGAAGAGGGGATGGGAGCAACAAGCAAGACAAAGAAAGAACAAAAAAAAAAAAAAAAAACGGCAAACGGCAAACGGCAAACTTGTCACTAGATCCACAGACGTTCACAAACACAAACACATACACATACACACAGTTTCTCCTTCTTCTCTTTTCATGCAAGGTAAAAACTCATGAAAACTACTATCACCCTTCTCTGATACTAGGATTTAGTAAATCCCCACTTAATTCGATTAAAGAAACGTGAAAAAACGGTCTCACTATTCTTCTGATTTCGTTCTACATCATTCTTTTTGCGAATCTCCCGTTGAAGGACGCGCAACTTCTCATCTAATAAGGCACGATTGTATGCAGTGGTACATTCAATATGATCATCCTCATGTTTTGAGGCGCGAGTATAACGAATTTCCAGATACTTTGGTTTAGTTGGTGAAAAATGCACTTCCTCAATATCCTTAATAAGTTTTTCCTCATTTTTAGAAGCTGTACTAACGGCAGCAACAGATGTGCCTTCCAGATTTGGTCGCATCGTGTACAATCTATCTCCATCCACACAAAAAATCCGTTGTTGTCGTGCACCATAACGATTAATGCGGATTACTTCAAATTGTTGAAATGTTTGTGCCTCTTCTGCATCCATATTTATAATAATATCTTCTACTGGTGCAGCAATATCAGGGTTTTCATCGGCTATACGACCCTGTACAAGTACCTCTGTTACACCAAAGCGATAAAGAGATAAAATAGTTCGTTCAGCTATGGGTACATCCATGTGTCCACACCCCATACCAAAATTGTAATACTCATTGATGTTTAGCTCCACTGGTCCATATTTAATACGCAGTGATCCTGCAACAAGACCAATCCCAGGAAGGCGATTAACAATCACCTGTTCCAAACTTTCTGCGAGCATATCAGCAGGTACAAGTACTTGCCGCTTGACAGGTTTGGCCTGGGACTCCAAAAGTCGTACTTCTACAGCTAAATTAATATCCTCAGCTACGGTTGGTAGCAGTTCCGTTCGCTGTGGAAACAAAAATAGTTTCGCAGCAGGAAGAGGTTGAACTGCGAAACACCCAAAACTCTGCGCTCCTCCATCTAACTGAACTACCATCTCTTCCTCTCCTGTAAATTCATCCGCAATATACAGTTTATAAAGACGTGGATTTGTTGAAAATCGAGTAGAAACACGTTCATCTGGTAAAACAACTTGTTGGAGAAACGCATTTACTACATCAACCCCACGAAAGGGAAATTGTTTGGGTTGAACTGTACATACTGTCCGCTTACCTTGAGGACTTGTGAATGTGCTGAAAACACGCACCTCTGGTCCCTTGGAAATTTCAGCATCAGTTTTCCCTAGATAAGACCCACTGTTATTTTGACCAAACCTATTTTCTGCTACTGCCTCTTCCCGTTGCTGCTCCAAATGTTCAATTAGCTCCTTCATTGACAGTGTGACGACCGTTCCAAGAGGCTCCAGTGTTCCATCGCCCACTCTGGCAATATCTGTAGGCTTCCAAATTTCTTTCCTTCCAGAAGATGGACCTATGTGGAACTTCATGTTATCATCACGCTGAAGATCGGCCTCTGCATCAATACCCGCAAGATCGACAGTCCAGCGAATCATTATAACCTCTCTAATTCTACTGCTAAAAAAGACAGTCTCTCTCGATACCCTTCCTTACCCCACTGTTAGTTTTATTTTTCTTTTTTTTTCTTTTATTATTATGCTTCTACCTTACTTCTTTTTTTTTTTTCGTTTATCCTGTCAAGAGGCGTGGTGTGTTACAAAGGCCTTCTACACTTCCACGATCACCCCCTTCTTTCAAATCAGAGTCAGGAAGAAGGGGGAAAAAAACCGCATCATCGAGAGAGAGAGAGAGAGAGAGGGAAGAAGCAGACATACACAAGCGTATATATACCACAACCAGCGAAAATGGTTTCTTATTCGCATCAATTATTTTCCTTTGTTTTACTGCACTTCTGGCACTGCGACAGATCACATCCTCGTCTGCACCACACACACGCACACACATACATACACTAATATATATATATATATATATATATATTGCAAACACTTGTACGTGTGCAATTTCTATATTCATATGTGTATGAAAAATACTTAAAAATATGATATTGGGAAATAAATAAATGCCTCCCTTTGTTATTTTTTTCCCATTTTATTTCCCCTATTTACCACACTAATCTAGCCATGCCACATGAACCCTGTATTTATCTACAGAGAAGCAGTAAAGAAAAAGAAATTAAAAAAAGGAAAATACGATATTCTTCGACTTCACACCACACGAGGTACAGTCCACTCGCTTTCACCTTCGAACGTAACTGTTTTATTCATTCCCACAGCAGTTCCATCGACGCAAATAATTTCCTTGCCTGTTTCTCGTTCAATTCGGCTAACTGTTGTGCGAAATGCAATCATAAATTTACTTTTCCTGAATTGAGTCACTGTGACGCGCGCCTCCACTTCATCACCAACAAATACAGGTGCCACAAAACTGAGCGTTTGACTCAAGTAGATAGACTGGGGACCAGGAAGTTCGGAACCTAAGAGACCTGAAAAAAGAGAACCAGCTAACATACCGTAAACAATGGGAGAAGGAAAACCAGCGGCCTTAGCGGCAGTTTCGTCAACGTGGATTGGATTAAAATCTCCAACTAGCGGGCCAAAGGCCTTTACATCTTCCTGCGAAATTACACGGCGCACAAAAGCGGTATCACCAATACGAATAACGCGACCCATTCGCTTTACTTTTATTGCAAACATGCTCAGGATCAGGCAAATAAATATAATAAAAAAAAGGAAAACGATAAAAAGAAACATAACAACCAGGGAATAAAAAGACAAACAAGAAAAGAAAGCACAGTGAATCAAAAACAATGATGATGACACTAAAAAATAAAATACTAATAATAATAATAATAATAATAATAATAATAATAATAATAATAATAAATACAGAAAATCGTAACATCGATGTTTCTTCTTTCAAAGAAAAAAAAAATCCTTTATATTCGAGTATATTGAAGAGCATTACGCTGCATTGTTTTATTCCATCGATGCTCCCATCCACCCTTCTTAAGGTGAGTATCTGTACCCCATCCAGTATAATGCACTCGATGCACTAACAAGTTACCACTACGCACCATTTTATTCATTGTCCAATACGACACATTGGCGTAAGGAACCCAGTCCCGCGTCCCAGGAATACCCTGTACAGCATGATAGCGATCAACATTAGCCAGACGATAATATGGTACTTTAAACAAACCGTATTGGTTATACTGGAAGCATGTAACTTTGCGCTGCAACATTTTTTGATGGGTGCCCGAGACGCTCTTTGATATTGGCTCATCAAGTTGAGAGACAGCACGACAAACACTATGCAACCAAGTGTCACGAAAAGATTTCTCGTACATCAGTCTACTCTCTAGGACGAAGTGAGTATGACGCTTCGGCACATCTTGACCTATGTGTCGCATATAAAGTCCAGTGCTTGAGCGAAGCATTTTCTACTACCCTATAATTTGACCAAAATACTCCGAACTACACTTTATCCCGAAATAGAAAAACTAATCAAGGAAAATACACATATTATAGTGAAAAGAAATTTGTAAATATATTAATAGATCATAAGTAACGAAATTCTTGTTTTGTTTTATTATGTTCCTCTTGATATAGTAAAATAAGCCTTACCAGTTAGATTAAACCTTTCTTATTGGTGTACAAACTTTCTATGTTTGTTGTTGTTGTTGTTTTTCCCCCTTTTTTCTTTATTTCTTCCTTTTTTTCTTTTTACCGTTATTGCTGTTCATTACGATATTCATTCACCTTCAATTTTATCTTCAATCATGGGGTCAATTAACTATTGCAATGCATCTTCGCAGATCTCCAATGCAATACGTTTGTAAACGTCATCGGCAGTTTTGCCAATATTGCAACATTCTTCACTAAGAGTATTAACACGTTGAACAGAAAAGCGAATAAAACACGCAGCCAGCTGTCCCTCAGCCTTTGCTGAAGGAAGACCTTTTTGGGTGCACATGGAAGCCCGTGATGCAACAGCCGAGGCAGCATAGAGAAGAGATGCAGCCTCACCAAGTCGGTTAAGCAGAAGCTGTTGATATGGGACTTGTGAACCATTTTTAACGAAGGTCGCTTCTACAGCATCACCAAATTTGACAACTGCCTCTTCAATTAAAGAAATTTCTGGAACACCCTTTAAAGGAACACGATCACGCATTCCCAACAACCGGAGTGTCCTTGCTTGCATCATCTGCAAAGTTGAAGCTTTTTGAAAAAATAGACCATAATCTTCAACACCACAACAACTTGCAGTGGCATAAAGGAAATCTCGAGACTCCATTAAGGCGAGAGATTTTTTGGCATGATCAAAACACTTGTCTAACACTTTGTTTGGCAATGTTAATATTTCTAGCTTTTGTATCAAGGTTGAGACAGTAGATTGTACAAATGCACAAACAAGCGTACATTCCAATAAACTGTCTTCTGTTGGTACATCCATATTAGCCGTTAGTGCGTAAACTGCAGATTCCATAGCGTATATAGCGCAAATACATGATGGTACTATATCTTCAATAACCTTTTCCTCATTTATACCCTGCAGTTCTTCTACTATACGTCTCATTGTACCCAATAATGAAACCGCATAAAGGTATTGCTCTGAAAACAGTGTAATCATTACATCTTTAAAACCTTCACCAACAACACCAACAAAATCAGAAGCAGGGGTATTGTCTAAAATAAGTGTATTGCCCTCAATTTTTATTCCTGGTGCATCTTTGGAACAAACAAAAAGTGAGCTGCGATGTGTAACGGCTGCACCATCCACTGTTGAAGTTTGAGTAAGTGTCTTGGCCAAAACCAAAAAATGTGTGGCCGATGCTACATCAAGAGAACGCTTTTTGCCGGACAATTTGTAACCACTATCATCATGATGAACAGCTTTTGTAGTATTCATACTGATATCACTTCCGAAAACATCTTCTTCAACTGCCCACCCCATTATCACACTTCCATCAGACATTGCAGTTAAATACTTTCCTTTAACATCTTTGGCTCCAACAGTTTCCAAAAGATGAGTACAAACCCCGCCATGTCGAATTGTAGACAATAATTTTTCCTCACATTTAGCGCCTAACTCATCATAAATAAGTCCATGGGCAGTGTACCCTAGTCCCAATCCTCCATATTCCGCTGCTATTCGTGCACCATAAAGACTTGTCAGTATATTACCACCGTTTCGGAGAGTTTCTAGCACAGATTGAAGATTCTCTGCTTCCTCACCATCTAGCTTTCGAATAGGATAGGGAAACATTTCTGCCGGTACAATCTTAAAGTTAAATAGACCGGCAGCGTAAGAACTTGACTGCCGGCAACAAAGCTGCTTATAAATTGTCCCAAACCTCCGCATTTGTCAAAACTTATAGTCTTTGATTTGACCAAACTTGCCACAGTGTCAGATAAATAAAAGGAAAGGGAGGGGAAAAGAAAACATTCCTACCAAGGGAAAAACAAAAGTGAACTAATCAAAGGTGCACGGAAATAAAAACATCAAAACTCTATATATTGGTATAAGGTACCAAACTATATTCTTTCTCTTTCTTTTTCTTTTTTATTTTCCTTTTTTCTTTCACTTTTAGTCATGCAGTTAGTGTAAAATATTTACCTCTCCTTTCTTTTATTTCTTTTTTTATTTTGTAATTTATTTACCATCAGACCTCTTCATTTAAGGACCCCGGTATATCAGAGATGCTGAATGGCAAAGTCGTCCATTTTGGAAAAACACGTTTGTACAAGTCCATACAAACAATATCATGTTGCATAACCTGATCATTAAGAGATGCCTTAAACAAACCATGAGTTCCCACAGCCTTTGTTATTTTTCCACGTCTTCCTAGTCGAGTATGCAAATCCACAGGCTGAAACCAGTGGACATCTTCATCATTAAAAAACATGTATTTCACTACAATTTGTTTTTTGTGAATAGTTGCAACACGCCCAGAAAGCACTGCACGCTTCAAAATTAAAAGATCTGGATTTGGAGGTAACGCTCCTCCGAAGCATGTGAGACGCAAGTTATTGCCATCCCCTTGCTCTTCCAAAGAAGGAACCTCAAACATAAGAATTGGACAAGGCTGATAAGATATTGGACCAAAAAAAGACGCCATACGGAAAACTTCAGATTGATGAAAAAAACGAGCGAATTTTGTGCGATCTGAAGCAGCAATGTCGCTAAACAAAGGAGAAACATAAAATTTTCGAAACCCTATATGGGCTAGCATAGGTACTTTCGATTTAATAGGTTCTTCCCATTCTGAGTTTCGTTGAACCTGAAAATGTAGTACTGACCATTTTTGTTCATGTTCCAATTGTCCTGAAGCAATAAGAAATCCAGTGGACATTGTATTAGACCAAACACTGCTTGGAACCTCAACAAGAGTTATATATACAAATTGATTGGCTTGCACAGGACCTTCACCGCACTTACGCAAAGCTGCTTCCCGAATTCGTGTCAACCCTTGTAGTTTATAGATATAGGCGTAATGAGATGGAAGATTCTCTGCAGGATCCCATTTACCAGTTTGAAAACTTTTTAAACCACGATATTTTGCAAACCTTTGTCTAGCTGGCAAATTGATAGGTGTATCTACCATATCAGGATTCCACGCTTCCTCTTCACTTTCTTCTCGTAATCGTTGCATTTCAGCGGCACGTTCTTCATCTGTCATACGCTCCAAACGAAGAATATCTTCAACTTTAAGAAAGTCTACATCGGTTTTTGAAGTTTTCTGAGATAAAAACTCTTCTCCAGCGAAGGCATCATCACCTTTTATCGATTCCTCCTCCATCATTGTATCTTCTGTTACTTTGTTCTCTTCAAGGTCATACCACGCTGCCTGATAATCAGAGACTCCTTCTGGAACCTTAATTTTTTTTACTCCCATCGATTGATAGTATGCAACATCATCTTCTGTAGGTCCTTCTGCGTCTTCAAGAGTTGCATTTGCCTGGACATAATCTAATGATTCGCGTTGATCTACTTCAGAAACATCAATAATTTGATAATCCCCCGTACTTGAATCTGCTATGGAAATACTTTCAATTTGATATGTCCCATGATTAGTAAGATGAATTAATTGTTTGGCAGAAAGTGGCAATCCTCTGAGATATCCCCCAATAGTCATTTTTTTATTTTCTTCACAGTACTTTCCTTCTTCCACGACGAGATAAGGATGTTGCTCACGCCAAATCAATGGACGTAATTTTGTAACCTGGATATGACGAAGTAAAGAGATATAATCATGATCCCCAGTAATAGAAACCACTCTAGTCGTTTCCGGTAGAACAGACAAAAAATAACGTTGGTGCACACGGAGAACTTTATGACGCTGTTTCTCACTGAATGTATCAAGATTTTGTAGAACTACAGTAACAGTAGGCACACCTTGAGCATTTAAAGAAGTAATTAGATCTCTCGTAAAATCGGTTATACAGAGTCCAATGTCTCCAAACCACGTTGTACCAGTTACTACAGAGTATCCTTCTTCTTCTTCTTCTTCCTCTGGTATATCCTGCATTTCTCGTATAGTTTCTTGAACAGTTTGGGATGCATCCAATGTAAGGATTAAAACATCCGCAACTTTTGCAATATCAATACAATCCTGGTCATTGCACCGGTTCTCCGTCATAAATGTAAAGGCTGCCCTTTTCTCTTTAGAAACTGCTGTGAACGGAAAGCATGAGTCAGGTTTATCGCAAGACATTGCTTGACAAAGTCCTTGCACGACCAATTCTGTATTTCCAGATTCATTGGCAGGAATTACCCCTATCGCACGAGGCACCCCTCCAAAGCTTCCAACTCGCTTCTGCTGAAGTGCAAGGGCAGTTTTTTTCTTCCGATGGGCAAGGGCAGACTGTCGATTTCTTTCCTTAGCTTCCATCGGTCGAACCGTCTTTACCCCTTTTGTAGTCGAAGAAATGGAACGCCCCTGGGCCTTACCTGAAAGAGCATGTTTAGAACTAAAGCGCTGCTTATGAGTTTTATTACGCGCCATTTGGTGTCGAAACTATCTTTGAGAAAGAAAAACATGGGCAAAAGAAGAAAAATGTCAACCACTTTTTTTTTTATAGATTAATCAGATCATCCTCGGATATCCTCAATAAATATATATATATATATATATATATATATATATATATATATATATATATATATATATATATAGAAACCCGGATAGAATGCTCTTGTATTTAGTCTTCTCCCCCCAATCCTATAAAGGAGGATGCAACAGAGGAAGATAATTTTGTTTATCAGTATATCCAAAATGTTTACGATATATATTGAATCCCATAAAAAGTAAAAGAAAAACACCGGACAAAATATTATATCCGAGATTATTGTAAACTTACGAAGAGGTGGTTTTTTTTTTTTTTTTTTTTTTTTTTCAAAAAATGATGCAATCGTCAATCTCCTCCGCGTGGTATGGAATGAAGATGAGTGTGAAGGCAAAAACAGCAGATCACTCGCCAATTTAACGGAGTATTTCTGGACAGATGAAAAAAAAAAAGATAATAAGCAAGGTGAAACGAGGTATATACACAAAATACCCTTAATTTATTTAGCCTCATCTAGTTCTTCATTGCTTACATGGGCTTCGCTTAAGTTCAAAAACCAAATTGACAAAGAAACCTCAACCCACAAAACACAACGTTGTCAATAAAACATACAAACTGCAAAAATGAGAAACGGAACGGAACAAAATCCAAGACGTTATATTCAAAGGAGAGAAAAACCAGAGTTTGGACATGCGACGTAGACCCATTTCTTTCTTCAAAGGGTTGTTGGCCCACAAACCCCACTACACCGACATGCAGCGAAGAAAAGGAAAAAAAAACACCGCTACCCGCAGAACGCAATAAAAAAAAATACATATATATACACACGACACAAGAAAACACCCACCCCCCCCACCGAATCGCCAAATCGCACCACAGAATGAAAACAAAACGGGGGAACGTCATACAAACAGAGAACCGCCCACCGATACCAGAGCACAGCGCCACCAAGGGCCCCACAGACAAAATGGGAAAGAAAACGGTTGCTGCGACTTTTTCTCTTTTTTCATCATTTTCTCTGCGCGCGGCGCTGCCGCGCCACCGGGCTGGCCCGCGGGTCGATTCGGGGGCGCGGGCCTCGCATGTAAACCTTTCTGTTTTCCGCGCCTCCCCCCAAACACGGCAACGCCGCCAACAGCAGGCTAGCAAACCCACCGGCGGACGCATCACTCGCGAGGCAAAATGGATAGAACAAGATCCTGGGGGAAGCGTTGCGGCGCAGATTTGCTCCACCCCAACCCCCTTTGCCGGTATCAAATCTATGCCCGCCATGGGGTCGCCAGCGTCCTTGCCACATGGTCGTTGCTATTTCTCTGGGCCGCCCCAGCGGCGCGTAACGCCAAGACGCCGTTGCGACTGCCGATGGTGCCCGCCATTGCGCGGGGCTGGGCCTTTTCATAAAAACTATTCCCCAGCGCAACGCGCCCTGACCCGGCGCCGCGCGGCGGCTTTAACCCAGGGGCGCGCCGTGCCACAAACACCCGCCCGACAAGCGCCACCGGGAGACAACATTCCCAAAGAACACCGGCGCCAATAACGTTTGCCTTGGTTTTTCTCGGGGGTGCGTTCTTCGCCGCCTTCGGCCCTCTGAACAAACCGGGGCGCCCGGCCACGGCAGCGAGGGGCGGCAAAAAAAAAGAACCACCAGGGCGTCCTAAACACTTCCGTTTTCATGAAACACCCTCTCGAAGTGCTAAAACTTATTTGACCGGGCGAAACGTTTCCCGCTGGACATTTCCAGGAACAAAACGGCACTAGGGTTCAAAGCGAACCCACCCTTCATAATAATAGGATCGCGGCGCCGGCAAGGTTGTAAAAACACGACCCCAGAAGGAACCGAAACCTTGGTAGCAATGTTATATCTTGTCGTCGTGTCGGATGTTAATGGTTGAATCCATTCAAGGAAACCAAAAACGATGAACAAATTTCTAAGGCAGACTGCCCCCAACACCCCCCACCCCCAAAAAAAAAGCCACAGAGCATTTAGAAGGGGTGGTCTCCATGAAAAAAAAAAAAAAAGAAACCTGCCGGGAATTCGTTCGGACATGCGCGGCCTTAGGGAAGCCCCCCTTTTTCGGCGTTTGGGCTTCGGGGCGCCGCGCGAAGCCCCAGTTCCTCGCGTTCTTCGTGGGGCGGCCGTGGGACTCCGAAGCTCCCATCGGGAAAGCCTGCGGGTAGTTGAGCCGCGAACGCCGCGCAGCACCGGGGCCGACCGAGGCCAGCGCGGGAAAAATTAATTGGGGAATGCCCTGGGGGCCCCCTGGCGGCGATTGCTTTCACATTTTTTAACCGGGCCGGGCGCCAGGGCGGGGGAAGGGGGAAAGGGGACCCGCAAAGGGCCAAGAGATGATGACGACTGTGCCAACACTCCCTTGGTGTGAACTGGATCTTGCCGATGGGGCAATTTTTTTTTTCTTCGTGTCTTAATGGATATTACTCCAATGGTACGGCTAACAGCCGTTCAACGTAGAGCGCCTAATTACCGAGTTAGGGGTGACTCCGAAGAAGAAGATCCCTTCATTTTATAGGATCCTCAAGCTCTTGTAATATGATTTTTGTTGTAGCCCGTTCCCATACGAGAGAAGCAGTCTACGAGAAATCTGATCGAGTAAACCCAACCAGATCTCTCTACTCTCACTTTTCTTACCCATAACCTGTCCTCAAGTCTCCTTTTGTTATTATTTTTGGTTATTTTTGGTTTTTTTTGTGATAGATTGGCCTCAATGAACTCCTATTTAGTTTGTTGCTTGTTGGGTCGGTGACTTGCGCCTTGAGCACACTCTTCTATCAGGGTTTCCATGGTCGTGCTCGTCGCTTATTTTAGAGGGGTGGGGAGGCCTTACAGAGGGGGAGGTAGTCTGCGTGGGGTTTCTTGGTTGTGAAGACTATGGCATAGTGTAGTTCCGCTCCACCGCAATAAGGAACTGTGCTAACCGCTTAGAAAAACATAGTTTCATCAGAGGTACATCATCAACTATCGCAAATTGAACTCGCAGTGGATGAAGAGTGGGACAACTCAAGAGGTGCAGAGCTGTTTCTTCGCATTCGTCGCGTTGGCTGGTGTGCGCGCGAGTAGGTTGATACCCGTGTCGTGACATTCGGTGTAGAGTTAGGCCCGACTTAGTCATACATTGACGACCACATGAGGGGCAGACTAATACCGGAAGGTCTCGTGTCTTTCTTGGCTTGTATCGTGCAGTGGTGGAATTCGTTTTCTTTGGCATACCTTGTCCATCATGGAATTTTTTGCAGTGAATGACGAGGGAGTCTAGGTGTGCGTAGAACTTCTGGCAAACTCCGCATTGGACTTTTTCTCTGTTCTCACGCTCCGGTGGCGATGACGTATCTCGCTGGCGTTTCTTATTTCGTGGAAAGGTTACTTGTATTGTTGCTGGCAAAATTGGGGTTCCAGGGGTATGTTGGAACTTTTTGTGGCATGCGAGAGTTCCAATGTTGCCAAAATCGCGGAGGCAAAATTCGCAGCGTGGTGAAGCAGGCTGTGGGATGAGCTGAGGGCGAGGTGCGTCTTTTGGGGTCCTCAGGATGCCGTGCTCTAATATGGGCTCTGAGGCCTGTTTTGGAGCGCGCTATCATATCACATTTCTCACAGGGGAATGCTGATTCTTCTGATGCCATCGGTTCGTCGGCTCGCGGGCGTTTTCTCTCTGGGACAGGGCATGCGGCTTTGTGCATGTATCAAAGGTGGCGCGTTAATCCATTTTGAAGCGGAAATGTTCGTTTACACATACTGCAGGCAAACGGGTGGAGTTTTGCTTTAGGCGAAGTGGGACGGGGTAACGTTGTGTCCGGAGGTGGCGGTTGTGAAGGTGGCGGAGGTTCTGGCGGGATGTCCGGCGGAGGTGGCTCATGGGGGAATTTGATCTTCCAGAGCGCATCGGCCCTCTTGAACCCATGTTTGCTGGCCATATGTTGTACTGCGGTGTTCCTGCATGAGTATTGTGCCCCGCATTCAGTGCAGGTGGCGGGGTCTGTTGCTTTGTTTAGTGCATAGCGCGGTCTTTTTTGGCCAGGTGAAATAACGGGTGCCGGCGTACTGACTTTTTGGGGATTACACCATCGACAACCAGGGGAAATACGGGTTTGTATCTTTCGCAGCAACCAGCCATAGCGATGCGAAGCACCTGTGCGAAAATGTGCTAGGGCTGTTTCTTCTTCTCTAGTAAGTTCCGGATTATCTTTGGTGGGGTTCCAGGATCCCGTGATTTTTGATCTATGGGAGGGAGGGGGTGTATCCTCACCCCTAAGCATTCGTTTAGCGTAGGCTATTATATCTGTGATCCAAGTATCAGTTCTTTGTGGTAGTTCTGCAGCTTTTTTGGCTTCTGTGTCGCTTTTTTCATTTTTCACGACTCCGCAGTGACCAAAGATAAATTGTAGTCGTATGCGGGCTTTGCGACGTTGCACTTGAAGTATTAGGTTCCACAGGAGTCGTAGTATTGGGTCTTTTACAGTCAGTGGACCTGTTTCTAGTGCCGTGAGAAGCGACAGTGAGTCCGTGAAAATGGAGACCCTGCAGGGCGTTTGGTTATTTGCAGGAATTATTTTGAGGAGTCTCCGTAAACCTTCGTATAGCGCTACGGATTCAGCTGTGTAGCTGCGGGCTAGGGGGCCAGCGCCTCTATGTGTGGTACAGAGCAGTTCACCATCTTTGTATATCATTGCTGCTGCTCCAGATTTTACTCCGAGAAATACGGAGCCATCAGTCCAGATTTCATAATGGGTACGCGGCGGCGG